TATGTACATCTACTGAGCGACTTAACTTGCCCATGTACAACAAATTTTCTTCTACTCTATCCATCGGTCCTTTTCCTCTCTTAGGGATTCCCGCTTCGGCACCCATTCGGCTCAATTGAGGATTTCGGACGGGCTTCTGATGGCCGACCGGGTCTAGCCAACCGATTGCTTCAGATTTAGCCGCCAAGTTGATTCGCCACTGCGAAGGGCGGCCCCGCTCTCTTCTAGAAGCCTTCTAGCCTCTCTTCAGGTACTAGCAACAGGTACCTACCTAGGTATGTACTTGGTACATTCTGTATGTACCTACTACCTAGGTAGGTACCTCTACGCTACGCTAATCCTGTAAGGCTAAGCATGGATTGGGGGTGGAGAAAGCTTAGGCTGGCTTGGGAATAGCTTAATTCACGTGAAATCAATCAGAAGCAGTGTATTTGTCCGCTTATATAACAATACAAAAGGTCATCCTAGCTAGCACATGATTTTTTTTATTTTATTTTTTTACTTGCGTATGCGTCCCGACTCCAGAAAGAGACCGAGAAGTTAATCCAATTTCGGTCTACTTCGAAATAAGGATAGCGCTTCTTATTTTCTCTTCGTTTCCCACCCCCTCCTTTCCCCTTGTACATACCTAGTATAATAACGCCGAAAGATACCTAAAGCGAAAAGAGGATATTGAAAAAAAATAAGGCAAGAACAGCAAGCAGTGCGTCACGCGACACATGTGAATGAGAGGCTGAATCAGGGAATGATTATACGTATATTGTGCATATCATATGTACATGTGAAAGAAGGCAGGGGAAAAAAAGAAGAGAAGCGGGGAGGCAAATATGAATCTTCAGACCTCCTTTTTTAACTTTGACTTTCGAGTCGTTGACTACGTTACGCGTCCCTTGTGCATAGTAGCCGAGGAGGGGAGTTTGGATGGAAAGCAAATAAGTTTGCCTCATATTTTCCCTGTCCCGTGTGTGTGTGTGCGTGTTGTATTAATCTCTACTTAACCTAACCTAACAAACATACAGCAAGTAAATAAGAAGCAAATATCACATGCTTAGAGATACATGCAACAGGTCCCAGCATATGGCAATACCTAAGCAGCGTTCCATGTGTCAGGGAAAGTCTTTAATGTACCGACCTGAGTCTGAGACGAAGCTACTACTACTGAGAGCCGCCGCGGAGAGTGAGAAGGTGAGAGCGAACACAATCCAACCGCGTGGATCGCGCCCGGTTTTTACCTTTTCTCCTTAACCACGTGGGGGCCGAGACGTCGGGACTTCCTAAGTTCTTTAGCCTCAGATCTTCATGAAATACTAGCACATACCCTTAACATACCTATCTATTCCTATCCCTATCCCTATACATATACATCTACGTACAATTACCCTTCTGCTACTATTACAAATTACAATATGACAGCAGCCTACCTTAATAGATGTAGTATTCGCAAGTGGGCTTAGCCTCTCCTCCAAGTGGAGCGCACCAGATAATTTCGCGGGTGCCAGGAGTCGTCATCATCGGCCAAAAATTCTAACCTCAACCTCCACAATTTTCGTTGTTCCTGCAACGACAGAGCCAAGAGGAGAGGGGAAAAGAGAATTTTCATTTCCCCCTCCTTCGCCTAGAACCCCCCTGCTATTACCTACTTACCTACTCAACGTAGCCTCGGAGGCTTATGCGTAGTATTGTATTCTACCTAGCGTTAAAGAGCCGCTTACGGGTCCCGGTGTTAGTTAGTAGTTGCATATTTCGGATGTCAGACGGTACGGCAACGGCAAGGCGGAAAAAAGGGGTTCGAAAAGGTCACCGATCGCCTCTTATTCCAACCCGTATATAGTTAGCTAGCCCGAGGAGCCCGACCTGGATTTCCTGGTGGTCTGATGCCTGGACCTTTTCTTCGCGGTACGGCCTGTAAGCCCGTTACGGCGCCGGTAAAGGGCCTTATTACACCCGTCCGGCTCCCGGGAGCTAAACGTGTTACTGGCGAGAGCGAGCCCGCGGAGCCTACCGGGTAAGGGGGAAGGAGGCCATGTAACGTCGGTCTGACAAGCGCCAGCAAGGAGCAACTTTCGGTTACCTTCAATAATAGTTCTTACTACGTGGGTAGGTACACCTAATGTAAGGCTCAAAAGAGAGAGATTCCGGTCCAGCGGAACCGGTTACATGATTCCCTATCCAATCTTTCTTCGTTCAAAACATAATAATAATAACAACGCGATGGTCTCATGTGAATATTACGAGATGGGAAAAGCAGGCTGGCGTAAAGATGACGAATTGCCCACAAATACGCATCTATTGGATAGGGATTATTCTCTCCGCAAAGCATTTGCATCTCGAAAGCAAGTTTTACCTTACTCATGTCGTTGGGTTGACCCCATGGGCAATCTTTCTCCTAAGGAATAGGGGCCAAAAATAAAATAAAATAAAGGGAATATTCAATTTATTTTTATTTTCCCGCTACGAAATAATAAAATAATATTCTTCAGCGAATTTATCGAAAAAACACCAAAAACCCAAAAATAGAAAAACTCAAAATCCAAATTCTTTTCGGTCCAAGCGCGAACCACACACACCTACCTACCTTCTACTCAGGTACCTACTATAATATACACCCACTCACCCACCCACCCACACACACACACACACACACACACACAGAGAGAGAGAGAGAGAGACAACAAGTCTGCGCTAACCTCAACGTCAGACTGAGTTTTGAGCCGCATCAGAACAGAGCGCATCTAGCACGAACCAAAACGCCGGGAAAATAAAAAATAAAACAAAATAAAATAACAGAGCTTGTGGGAGAAAGAGCCGTTAAGATTTCAGTTGACTCTTCTGCGTCGAAGAGCTTAACGGGCTTTTACGCGTCAAAGTCAGCTAACTACGCGTAACGTCATTACGCGATCGCACACACACATTCCTTCTACCCCTCTCCCTCCCTCCCTCTTAGAGGCCGGTAAGCTAGCGTGGGCGTGGGGTTTAAACTCATTGTTCTTTATTTTTATTTTTATTTTATTTTATTTTACTTTATGCCCCTTTTCTTGGTGTGGGATGAGTGATGGATGGGACGGAGTTTAGGTATGTCACCAGCGCAAGATCCAGCCTTGTCGAGACTCATAAGCGTATAGGTGTGTATTCGCCATCCCCTCTACTATAGTATCAGGTACCTAACCTAACTTAACCTAGGTATCCTAGCGTATCGGAGGAAAATAAGAAAATAAGAAAAAAAAAAACACATATATAAATAGTAAAAATGAAGTAGAAGCTATCTCTGCTAAAACTTCGGCTGGAGAACTTTCCCGCAAGGCCAGGCCAGGCCAGGCCGTGCTTTCACCATGATACATACCATAGTGTCCGGTTTAATCGGAGGCTAGCCGCTCTTTCGCTCCCGACGGCCAAGAAGCGAGGCAAGCAGCGGCCGTTCCGGGAGACGCCGCCGCCGCCGGGAGGCTTCATTCGTTAGCTAGGTACAGGTACCTAAGGTACGTATCGCGCATGACCATTACTAATTATGTATTGTACCTGAATCGCTCAACCCCGGGCCATTGACGACATTGTTCGCGTTGACTTAGGGCAGGGCAGGGCTGGAGCTATATGGTACGTAGTGTCGCCGGCGCCGCCGGTTTACGGTGCTAAGGTTTCGCTAACGTTAGGTAGGTACCTAGGTAGGTAGTTAGCCCCTATCCGCTCCCCCCGACCGCCTCGTGGTTATATTTGCATTATTTTCCCGGATGGGGACAAGGCGCTTCCGATGCTAGTAGTGGGAGAGGGGCTGTTGCGTCATAGGTAGGGACAATACGGCGTCGCTTGCACGCAGCCGTTAGTTACCTGTTAGCCTCGTGATCTCAAGTCATTTTAGCCTAGGTTAGGTTAGGTAGACAACGCAGGTGGCTGCGACACCTTACTCGATCCACGCGCTCGGGATCTGTGGATTGCCGCGGCGATCTACTATGTAGAGCGGGTGCGATTCGCGTCGCGGTCGATTAAAGTTTAGGGCCCTTTGGCGGGGGGATACGAGATGTCAGGTGCTTCGAGGAGATGGGAAGAAGATGGATGGCAGTGATTAATGAATGATACCGAAATGAGGATATAGGTGCGAGCGAGAGCTACTCATTCGTAAAGTCGCCCTAGTGGATATTCTGTAGTTTATACTTTGGTAGGTTGTCCATGCGCTGCTTGCTCTCTGACATCTGATCGTGGTCGCGTGCGCGTGTTAGATATCAGCAACTAGTTTCTATTAACATTACAGTTCATATCCTAGCCCCTAATAAGACAGAAGTGAGAACGGATAGCTACGGTCTATATATCCGGTTCTGATCGTAATTTGGGGACGCTCATCGATGAGATGCTCTGCATTATTTCAAAACGTGGTAGGCTTAGTCTAAGTTGAAGAAACTCATAGGTACTTCATCTGAATTCAGTACATGGTAGACAATCTTGATCACTTACGAGAGGACTTGGTGCTATCACGTATGCCAATATCTTAGAAGGCTTTCACAATCGTACGCATTGTGAAAGCCGTACGTTCTTAAGAGAAACATGAATTTATGTTTCCTGGATTGTATTAGGTACTCAATCTTTATGAACCGCGAACATGCTAATGATATTATCCGATACAGCCGTAGGTTATCCGAAAGGAAAAAGTAAACCCTCAAGAATAAGAGAATACCTGTCTCGATTACGAAACATATACTTGGTTCTCGAGGGGTTGTCGGGTGTGATTTAGGAGGTATGTAAATGAGCCACAACAAGGGCGGAAGAACCGTGAAGTAGAACACCTCCTTTCACCCCCCCGGTAGATAATATAGGAGACATAAATGACCATATTAGATATATTCTTATGCAGTAATTGCAGATCTTAGTATCGCCGTCTCAAAGAAGTGATAGGGGCAAGATAAACATGACGAAAAGGGGTAAGAGACCGGAGGCAGTACGCCGACTAAACAACACTACCGTCCAGTTGCGATCACTCGTAGAGGAAGATGTTGTCTTAGGTACGTTATGAAGTCAATGTTCTTAGCTAGTAAAATGTACAGTTTATTGGCAGCTTAACATTTTACCTACCTCCTTTCCGTAACCGTGGAATATGTGCGTATAATGTATCTCGCGCCACCCAGACAACGATGCTTTTCGTGATCGAACCAGTTTGCAATCTTGTAATACAAGAAACATGTCTCTACCTTTGGTCAGACATATTGATATATCCTAGAAATGACCGTAAGCATTAACCAAGACGGGCATGCAACGGGTAGGTTTCGTCAAAGAGGGCAAGGCTGGTCAAAGAGACATGTAAATGGGAACAGGAAGGATGTATGCTCAAGATTATTACACTAAGTCTCATTCGCAATCTAAAATATTGAAGATACGAGAGAAAGTTAAGACAGAAGAGAGAGGACGGTTGCTAAAGAATCTCGCTCCAGACAAGTAGAACATCAGCCCCCCTTAACCTACCTAAGATAGGAGGTAGTTACGATTTATTATGGGTTCATTGGTTAAGGATGTGGAAGTATTGGTTCTCTAGGATATACCAGAAATTAAATTCAATGCATGGAGTCAACATTCGACTCAGAAAAGGTATCTCATAATTGATCGGTACATTAAGAAACCCCTATGGAAGCCACCGCGTTAACCTACCTCGAGCAAGAACTAACTGAAAGGTATCTACCATTTAGGCTCATCCCTTTCTACCTTGGGCGTTGCAAGTTCGTTCCTATCGGCAAACGGGTCGTTTTCATCTTCGTCTGCGTAGTCCTCTTCGTCCGAGCCTGGTGGGGAAGGTTGGCGTGGAGCTATCACTGGCTTGGATGCAGCAGACGGCCGTGGCGGCGGCATCGGTCTAGGGGGAGGGCTCGGGTTGATACTGAGCTGGGCCATGTCTGATACAGGGCTGGATGGACTCGTGGGTGACATCGCCTGTTTGTGCTTCTCGGTTGCCACTATCATCGGTTAGTACGAGTATATGTGTTTTTTATGTGAGGAATAACTTACTCCTATATAGATGTGCTTGTTCGGCTAGCTCGTCCTCCGAGTCGCTATCAGCATCGATAGAACGATCCAGTTGCTCATAAGTCATGAGTGCAACTACAAGCTCATCATTGGCGTGGAGAAGACCTCCCAGCCATTGTTCGTCTTCGACATGATGAATCTATCAAAGTAAGCAAGAGCCCGTATATGACACTGGGATACGACATACGTAGCGTAGTATTTTCCGTCGTAGCTTTTTGCAAGACTCAAACCGCTCTACAGCTGTGGAGTTTTCCGAGATCCGTTCGCGTTCTCGATTTATGCTTTGAAGAGCATTGGTTAGATTAGTAGCCGCAATGGAGGACTCGGCGATTGCAACTTTCATGGCGTCCTTTTCTGCTTCGAGGTTGAAAGGCTTGTGCTTTCTCTTGCCCTTTTCCTTTTCCTTCTTCTTCTTATCCTTAGGAGAACTAGAGAAGAATGAACCAGAGCCAGAGCCGGAAGTCGATTTGACGTGGCTGAATGACTGCACAGTTTGGGTGGGCTGAGGATAGGTAACAGGCTGTCGCGAGGACGAAGCCTGAGTGGGGGAAGTTGGAGAGGCAGGAGTTTGTTCGGATTCGTCCTCAGAATCGCGAAAGGGGTCTTGCTCTGTTTCACGCAAGACCTTGGATTTCTCCTGGGTGACGACTTGTTTACGCCGCGGGAGTTCCTATCATGGTTACCTCTCAGAGTCCCTAGTCCAATTGACGATGCTTACCTTATATAACATGGCAATTCTTTCGAGGCCTGGGGTATTCTTATACTCTGCAGCCCAGCCCCTGAATAGCTCAGAACACTTTTTCTTGACATCAGGATCAGACAGATCTGAAGTACCGCAAACTCGCAAGCGCTCAAGCAAGGGTTCGTCTATAAAGGTCCTCTGAAAACGTGGGCCAGCATTCTGGATCAAGCCATCGAGAAGCACAAGGGCTCTTAGCTGTCTGTGGACACTACCATACTTCAGCTTTTTCCTGAGGGCGCGAGCGGCTTCTGCGGGGCCAGATGCTTGAAGTTTAATAACCTCGACCAGGTCGGGGATCCCACTAAGATCGTCTTCTTCATACTGCTCGCTAGTAAGGCGCTCAACAGTTACAGTGACAGCTGAGTATGGTTTCTTCTATTGAGTACGTTAAAACTGTTTTGATATATAGTAAGAAGATTTTACTTGATTTGCGACATGGGGAAGAGGGCTGGTGCTTAAATGTGTAAACCAAAATAATATATATAAAAGTATTCAAACGGGTATGCAACTTACCTGAGAAAACATGGTTGCAAGCAGCCGAGGCTAGAAAAGAGAGAAAGAAGCTCGGTATCAAAACTAATAAAAAGTGTATTTGGTATAATATTTCTGGATATAGGTAATTTTTTGAGGGGGTTCTCATAAGAATCGCAAGATATTAAAATATCCCCTTCTCGAGCTTCGATGGTAAGTAACAAATATCACAGCCCCCTAAGGTAAGCGATGAGTGTGTACAGTGAGGAGGCGCACGTAGTGAATGTTGCGCACCGAGGCCGCACAAAGGTGACAAATAATCTTATTCGCCTGTGTGATTCCTATACGTATATGCGTTCTGCGGTACTTAGGGTGACTCGATTTTCTTTTCTTCTTTTTTTCCTTTTCTTTTTTCCTTTTCCTTTTTTTTAAAAAGAGGCACTGATGCAATATCGGCATGCAACAGTATGCAACGGCTTTTAGCACGCAGCGTCAAGGACCAGGTGCCTTTATTTGACTTTGTCCCTTGTTCGTCTGTACGATTGAACTCTAATCGGCAGGTATACGAAGGGAGGGCTCCGACGATTCCAAGATTGGGGGTGAATTCAAGGTGGGAAATCAATTTGGAGCGGGGTGCGATAATTAGTTTAATCAATATGTTACAGTGATGCAGCAATGGAAGTGTGTCACTTCTTTTAAATGAATCCTACTTCGAGCTCCATTGATCTTCAATTTGCTATTAAATTAACCAAGACTTTCCTTTTAACGAGAAACTAGAGATCTTTAGTTGTTTAGCGTTACTATTGTGTTGTATTGTACCTGCCTTTCCATCCTGTACTACCTAACATTTATCCTATAAGGTTGTCTTGTGAGCCCTTTCCTTATTTGAGTTGACGAGGAGCATTTAATTGGATTTAACCAACTGTTGTTAGGTAATGTTAAGTTATGTCTATACGTACCTACCTTACCTACCTGGTATACAAGGTAGGAACTACTCATAATTGACTCATAGGTACCTAAGGTAGTCAGCCCTTCATTAATAAACCTAACTCAATTAACAGGTCAGGTACTAGGTAGACAAGTCTCTTTACACCTTCAACACTACAATCTCTTAACTTGATTGAATCTCACCATGATATATGTAAAACCTTCTCATAATGAGTTACTCTAACCAATTGAACGATCAGAAGCATTTTCGTGTTGCTGCCGCCGTTGACGAAGTCATACATAATAATAATGCTCTTTCGGGAGAAGTAATTGACAGCGCTCAGAGTCGGAAGTTGAAACGTAACCGAGAGGTGTATGAAGAGAATGACAACTCATCTCTACCCACTGCACCATCTTCTAGCCCCTTTCAAACCCTTAGAGTCACAAAATCTAGCATCGCAAATAGCAGCAATCCCTTGTCCAAGTTGCAGAATATACAGGCCCAACACAATAGAGAGCATCCGTATACACCTAATTCTATCGACGCATCCCTGAACCTGAGCCATGGCAATCCAGCTAGCACAGCAGTTGTCCGGCGAACCACCAGCCTAGCACATCTCACTACATTCACCGCATTAAGTAGTAGTGCGCACCCCCGCAGCGGCGCTGGCAACGACCACAAAATTCTAGGCAAACCCACAGTATATAACCTAAATGCTGACGCCAGCGAGGATTTCCAAGACGAATATCCCCTCGATAGTGACTTGATGGAGGAAGACATGGCCTGTCTTCTCGAAACCTCCCTGTATAGCGCCCAAGAGGCGCACATGCCTCCTTCGAGCGTCACTCAGGCATGGGACCATGACTCGAGGTCGGCAGCTGAATACGACCCGACTCTACAACACTCATCTCCAAAAGAACTAGGTGTGCCTCAAATGGTAGATGCCGCTGAAACCCCTGATAGCAACCAAGATGACCTCCTCGATGAAGATGTCGATTGGAATGTTGTATATACTATGACAAGCACAATCTCGAAAGCCGCATCGGGTGCTTACCGCCTCCAGAACGCAACTCATCCTTGGCTACAAGATCGAACAACCCAAGAGGGAGAAATCGATAAGTGCGATGCTAATATCGCAGACACGATGCCCCTAAAGCCATTTGCGCGACCGCCGTTCCCTGAAAAGGTCCGTGATCGTTCCGCCGTCTCGGAATTGTCGCCGCGTATGGTGTTGCGGACCTGCTTTCGCATAGGAGAGTTAGTCAACCAGGCGATATATTGTCTAAACCACCGACAGGATGTAATCTTTGAGCTATTCGCAAGGGTAACGTATTCAAGCCGGGAGAGTCTTCAGAGAAATCAGCATTTCCAGTTTGTTGACCTATTTAAAGATCAGCTCCCGTACCCCGTGGGGGTCCTCTCAAACTGGCGAGTAGACACGCAGCTGGATCGTCAAAGTGCGGCGTTCCTAGGTACCAGCGCAGGACCCAGATTATGCCGCTGTATGTGCAAACCTAGGAGAGATCCAAAGACTGCAATAGGCCTGACTCTTGTCATTACTGCCATCAAAAAGATTGACTGGGTGGATATCAGATTGGCAAAAAGGACCGTCTGCGGGAGATCGGACGATGCAGCCTGAGATGTCGTCACACAAGAAAACTACGAGAATAAATAGTGGCCTGACATAGGTGGGTAAAAGAGGTGCCAATACCTGGGCTAAGTATCTGTCGACTGGAAGCTTGCTATGGATGATACAGGTGGAGAAGAGCTTTGAGCTTTGGGGGGAATTTTCGTAAAGAAGGCCAATCGTCTAACGGATTTAATGATGGCTTTTAGTCGTATGTATACACAGCAGAGGGGTGCATGATCGCTAACAGTCAAATTAAATAGAAGGTGAGATTGCTAGGTTACGTCCTGTAGGGCCAATGAATCGATATGCTTAACACGATGCTACCGTGCGCTGGAAGGACTACTATGTAGAAACCTAGTGCTTCACATGTTGGTTGAGATAAGTACCACCTAAATTTTGAACCAAGATCAAGCTTCGAGAACGAGAACGTGCGCCAGCAGAAGACAACTCGGCACGGAGAGCAAATCCCTCAGACAAAATCTTAGGCATCGACGTGTCTCACCTAGAGGTGAAGGGTGAAACAAAACTTAGCGCCCGGTCTTCAGATTAAGACGGAGATGAAAAAAAAGGGTTTGGCACGGTATATTATAGCATAGGTAATTGCTTCGAAGCCTTGTACAGTCGATTTCGAATTTCGAAAGGAACGGGGTAAGCTTTACCTAATAGAAACTGTGTACTCAGTAGGGAAAGGGAGAGGGAGATAAAACCGTTGCTTACTTTGCCTTACATGTAGGTATCTTGAGTGTATTTTATTGGCTTCGTTGGGATGGATCAATGTGTTGAATATGCGATGCTGCGTCACAATTTTTTGTACCGAAGTGATAGAAGAAAATAAAACCAAAGCCTGCCCAGTTACTTATAAGTTACATGTATGTACAATAGGTACAATAGTAAAGGTCCAGCCTTAGGTAAGGTGGTTAAGTGGCTCCTAAGTACCCCCATTTTTCTCCGTGTTCCGTTTCCCCCCTTACATTACATGTAGGTAGGTACGCTGATACGTCGTACATATCACGTGCCTTGTCCCCATCTCCACAAGTTCTTAGCTAGCTGGTACCTACCTTAAAATCATGAGCTCCATTTGGGCTCGGAACCCTTCAACTTTTTTCGAGTAGCCAAAAAATCACGAGACGCGTTTGTCGTATACTCAATCACCTCGCGATCCGGAGTTCTATTTGTTTTTTCGCAAAAGACTATATTGGGATAAAAGAGGCAATTCCATTCTTATCCTAGTCCTCGTCTCTAAGAATCCACTATCGCAAATATCTGTCCAATCCTAACCTCCTGAGGGGCGAGGGGCTCTCTCACCTTCCATCATCATCGTCATTCAGCCTGGCTTATTGCATACTTTTAGGCGGCAAACATCACAATATCATCTCGGAATCGTCTGGATTACTTACACCGTCGCGCTAGCTGACCGGGACATTTGACTTAATATCCATCTCAAAATTGGAGATAGATTTATTTTCTAATATAATAGTACCGGTTGGCCACCGCATAGAACGCACCTATGGGGTCTGCATTGATGTTAAACGGGCAAGACCCGACTGCTCTTAAAGCAGAAACGGAAAATCGACTGAATACTTATTTCCAAGTTGATAGCGAAAGGCAGGCTTTCATTCATGTACGTCAGCGCGCCGGCATGCCTGTCTCTACTCTACCCCTGAACACTAGGTGATTTCTTATTTTCCCGTTTCGCTAACGCATACCTCGTAGAATATGCTCAACAAAATTGAGGCAGATGCTAAGAAGATTAATGAACTTGAACTCGATCTAGATGACCAAAGGAAGTCCCGAGCTGATTATCAGTTCAAGGCCCGTAATCTTGAGAGCGAGGTGCAGAGGATAGCACTACAACTTGTCTGTTGCGCTATCCGCTATATTTCCAAGTGATCTGTTTGCTAACACTTTAGTAGAATAAAGATTCATTTGTTGTTGTGCTAATTGACGGCGACGGGGCTAAATTTCAGGACCAATTCTTGCGTGACCCTGAGTCCGGTGCGGAGAGGGCTGCCTTACAGCTCAAGCATGCTGTTCGAGAGTACCTTAGAGATTCAGGAGTCTCGCAAGATGATATTCCTATCCTGGTCAGGGTCTATGCTAATCTGAATGACTTATCTAAGTCGTTGCGCCTCTCGAGAATTATTGAATATGATGATGATATGCGTTTGTTTGCCGAACGCTTCACCAACAGTCGCGCTGACTTTGACTTCGTTAACGTCGGCAAAGGCAAAGAAAACGCCGACTCCAAGATAAGACGTACGTTTTGATGCATGTTTTGATACATGCTTCACTCCCATCCCAATCATCCATCCATACAGATACAGCCCCATGCTACTTCAAGTCTACCATGTGCTCACTTTTTTTTTTAGGTATGCTTAATCACTACTACAGAAATCTGCAGTGCAAGAAGATATTCCTTGCTGGATGCTGTCACGATAATGGTTATCTACACGATCTCCGGGACTATACAGGAGCTAAGGAGGAAAGATTGGTGCTTGTGGAGACTACGCCTGCAGAGCCAGCTTTTAGGACCCTTGGCTTTCCTATCATACGGTTTGACGATGTTTTCCGGTCAGAGCCGTTAGGAAATGAGACCAAACATAGTTTTTCGACCATGGCTCCTCCTCCAGGGTTTCGTTCTCCTATTCAGCCTTCTGCTTTACCTGGCCCAATTGCCCGACCTACGCAGGCTGTACAGAGATCGACCACGACGACCGTATCGCCTTCGGCGCAAGAACAAAGGCAATCATCTACCCCTGTCCCTAATACTACTACACCCATTTCTGTTAGCACACCGTCGTCAGTACAGCGCAATTCGTCCCCCGAGCAGCAGCCAGGTGCTCCACCACGCGCTTCAAGTGTTATCAGCTCCGGAAATGGTGGTACTTCGATTAGTTATGCCACTGCTGGCGGAGTCAACGACCATCAGAATGTGACTGTTAAAGCGCCCAAGCCTAAGAAACAACCAAAAGTTATATATTATAACGCAGATAATTGGCGTATCGACCCGCCAACTCAGCATCCGCCCAGGACCCCTGCGCAATCGACTTATCAAGCTAAGTTTCAATCTATCAAACCTTCTGTTTTCTGCAACGACCATTATCTTAAGGGTCATTGCAAATGGGGTATCAGCTGCGATAAGACGCACGATGCTGAATTAACCGGCCCAGAGCTTGCCATTCACCGTTACAAAGCTCGAACCAGCCTCTGTCCTGCTGGCCCTTACTGTGTCGACTATGACTGCTATCTTTCCCACCATTGCCCCCGTACCCCGTGCACGAGGAGCGATATGTGTCCCTTCTACAATACCGAGAAGTGGGGAGATATGCATCTAACTAAAGACCAGCTTCAGCCTACGTAAGTCATCCATCCGTCAACGTCTGAGATCCTACATGTTCTGGCCAGGCTTGGCTAGGCCTTTCCTTGCTTCCAACATTGTGCTGACATAATATTCTTCGTGTAGGACTAAGTGGACAGAAGGCAATGAGCTTCCCGAGCATATCTAAACCAACCTATGCGTGTAGCCGAAAACAAAAAGGGATAGGGTGGGAATGAGCCCTCACGCACATGCCGAGGTGGTTTTTTTTTTCTGTTAGACGTTAAATTTTAACAAAGCAGACAGGAGAGGTGGCATCTGTTCTAGTGAGGGACAGGGAGATAAGATGATGTTTAGGGTGATTTTAAGGATTCTCATTTTTTTTATTAAAAAAAAAAGGACATGATGCACTCCCTCCTTTACCCCTTAGCCGACGGCAATAATAATAATTCGGATAACAGGGGCGGATATCACTTGGAGATCGAAGGATAGCTTCGGCTACGACTAGGGTTAAGGCTTTGGCGGCAACGTCATTGCCACCCACCTACCTTTCTAACAAGTATTCGTTCGCAGCGTTACATTTATTACACGTTAGCAATAATTGAACACACTCATTTGATTTTTATATGTTACTGTTTATTTCGTATGCTGATCGTTCTTCTCCATTAGATGGGCTAGTGATAACCCGAAGTCTTTTTCTTCTTCTCGTTCTCCCGCTCTTCCTTTTTCACTCTCCTCAACCCGTCCCGATCCGAACCCTCTTCCCTAACGACGGCCTGCAGCTCTTCCCTCAGCTTCCACTCTAATTTATCTAGAATCCACTCTGCTTCTTCCCTGGTACCCATGAGTGGGCTTTGGTGTCCGATCCAGCTCCACTTGGGTATTTGCAAGGCAGCCGTACTTGATTCCTTACCATCGCCATCGCCCCCGCCCCCGCCCCCGCCGCCACCGCTACCGTTATCGTTACTACTTCCCCCGCCCTCCCTTGACGGATCGTTATCTCCCGCGTTCACAGATGTCGCGGGGGCCCCGCACAACCGGTTCGCGGCTCTCTCGCGACGCGGTTCTTCCGGTGGATGGTGCTCCGGTGGGAGGTGGTTCTTGGCGCTGCTCTCGTCTTCGCCGATGAGTCGGAGGTACCAGACCCTTTAGATTTGAATTAGTACCAGACGAAATTAGAACCACCACAGCTTTCACAACCACCAGCACCAAAAAAGAAAAAAAAAACCTTACCACTCCTTATACGTGTACTTGCGCTGCGGTTCGTGCCGCAGGTGCTGAGTCACGCGGATGATCTCGTCGATCAGGATGAGGTGATACTCGGCGCGGGACTTGGGGAGTTCGGTGGGAAAGCCTTCGCGGGTCACGGAGGGGGAGCGTCCGGGGGATGAATTCATCTTCGCCTTCGATTCTCGGGCGGGCGGAGACTTGGATGAGGGGTCTTCTCCGTTGGTTGTTGAAATGGATTTTGTCGGCGGTGATGGCGACGATGTTAATGTTCGTGCCTCCCCGTTCTCGGCGTCCTTTTCGGCTCGAAGATTACTTTCTGCGTCGTTGACGTCGGTCGAACTAGACGCCTTTGTGCCCTTCTCCTCATCGTCGCTCTTGTCGTTTGTATGATGCTCACTGGCCGCGCCTAGAAAGCCCGGGGGAGATTCTTCAGCATCTTCGTCCGGGAACAACACGCCGCAGGACAGCTTCGATAATAGCTGCTTTATCCCCGTCCTAAAGCCGGAGTCTCCGGGCAAGATTGTGATACTTCCGACGAGAAGCGTGCCGTCTTCAATGCCCTTCACAATTGTGTCCCCCGCGTCTGATATGAGAAAAGTCGTGGTGGGCAAGGCGAGCAGGGACCAAAATACAAAGAAGGCCTTGGCCGGGTTCGATACCGGGGTGAGATCACCGTACCCGATGGTTGTCAGAGCCGTGAATGAGAAATAGAACCCGTCAAAGTACGACCACCCTTGGTAGGGATATTCGCAGCTTTGGAAAATCTTGGCACCCACGAGCCAGAGCAAGAGCCAAGTTGTGGTAGATAGGGCCATCGCAGTCCACCTTTCTCTTTGCGACGCTCTGTATCATGTTAGTACTCCATGGTCGTGTATTGGGATTGTATTGGGATCAGCTTTGGTAATAAATTCATATGTCAAATGAAATGATAGCGGTCCTTATTTGTAGCAGAGATCCTGCGAGAGGAGAGTTTGACCACTTACTACCCCTAATTAGTACACGGGCATGGAATTAGGTAGTCATATATAGAGAGAGAATATTCTCTCGTCCTCCAGGTAGACTGCGTGCATACCTTTCGTTGAACCTTACGCATTAGCTGAAATTCCTTTCGACGACGGTCGAATTCTGTCCAGCGAGGGTTTCGAGGGTTTGAAGGAGAAGCATCGGAAGCTTCGTCGTTGACCGGCTTGAGGATATGGCTGTGTCCTTTGCGCGAGATGCGTCGTACTAATGAACGGCGTTGCTTCTCCAGTATACGCGCGTCGAGCCTATGTTTGCCGCGTTCAAGAATCATACTCCGTATCGATCCGATCACAAGACCGACAGTGATAAGGCCGATGAGTGCGTATGGAACGACAAGACCGCGAGCAAGACTGGTCTGGGGGGATATATCACCAAAGCCTACGGCGAAGAGAGTCATATCTGCCCAATATACGGCATTAAGGTAATCCCAACCCTCGATCTTGGAGAAGACGAAAGCGCCTAGAAGAAGGTATATTAGGAAGACAATAGTCTGAAGCATTAACGTCCTCTGACTGATCGTCAGCGCGAAATCTTTGCCGTAGTGGCCGGTCTCAGCACCCCAGACGGTGACGACCATAAGAGACGCGACAATGAAGTAGAGGACGGCTGCGAATAAGCCGTAATAGAAAGCTTGAGACCAAACATATTCAATCTTGGGCTGCAAGACCAAGGGCCCAGACGCCGTAGCGCATAGAGAAACGAGACAGATTGCCGAGATATACCAACCTGCTATCGTGATAGGCTGGGCGATGGAGAACCGCACCCTTTTCGTCATGTTCAGGAGGAGAAACATGTTTGCGACTATGGCGACGACTAGCTGGACAGCGTTCACCGCTGTTAGCCACGGAGGGTCCTTGACATAGACGGCCTCGGTAACGTCGGACCCTGGAGGAATATGCTGCCTCCAATACTTGACAAGCGAGCAGATACTGAATGCCGAAGCTACGGGACCCAAAGTCCCCGCTATCATGGGAAACGCGGCTGACGCAAGCCACCAACGGCTATGAGAGTTTGATTAGTTTTGATCTCGGTTAGCTTGAGTCCTTTATATATATATGCGTGTGAGTTTTTTGTTTTTGTTTTTTTTTTTAAAAAAGGGGGGGAGAGGAGGTAGAAGAGAGAAGGTAGAAAGGAGAGAAGTATGTATAAAAGACCTCTCTCACCTGGGATGGAGATGAAGCCGATCATTCATGATACGTCTATTCCTGACCTTCTTGTGACCCAAGCTATCGACGGCTTGCGAATGCTCGGCGATAATATTATTCAAGTTTGCATCGTCCATTTTGAGAAAGTCGATAGTAAACACTCATATTCGAATTATTTTGTGTTGGTGTTCGTGGAGCAAGGTTGTCTAGCCTGGGAGAGATGACAAGTGTAACATCTTTTTGTTACTTATTTAGATGTATCGTAGATTTAGATAACGATTGTTAGATGTGTTGGTGATGATAATTTATTAATTTATTTATTTACTAGATAGGTAGCTACCTTAGGTACCTACCTAGGTAGGTAGATAGATATATATAGGTGGTATATAAGTTGACAAAGGAGGGTCAGGCGCATGTCTTGATATGGATGTTTTAATGTGGTAGGCATGACGTCGCTTGTGTGTGGCATTAGGGATTGTGAGATTGTGAAGCTAAAGCTTTTAGTTTGGTGGAAATAGAAGGTTTAGAAGGTTCTAGCCGCTAAACCGAGTAAGGAAGAACGACCTGTTAATTAAGGATATAATGATATAATATATGATAAGTGATTGGTTGGGAAATATGCAACAAACGATCTTATAGGTATCACCTTAGGTAATTTTTCTCGCTTGGCGCGTAAAAATAGTCCCTTTAGTTTCTTGCTTAGCTTCTATCGCACATATCATCCCATTTATTTACCTGTCCGATCAACATTTCAACATTTTGATGCACAACTAAATTAGCAAGGCCATCATCAATCTCAGAATTCGCGGGTAGGAGAGCACCGATGAGCTCATTCCGAATATTAAAGGAAAGATGAGAAAATGGTTCCGCAGTAGATGTTTAATATCTGCCGGTCTTCGCGACCATATAAAGAGGCATTATAGCGCTGCTACCAACGATGTAGAACGTGTGGCTATTACCGGTGGCTCGTCCGGTGATACGATTATCGAGTGAGTAAATATATATTTGTACATGCCTGCCTACCTAACCTAGGTATATATATAAACATATCTGATTGGACTTTTCATATCTGACTTAACCCCTAGTCTACATAATATTTCGAAGCTGTCACCTGAAAGCCCCTTATTGATCTATCTACCACCATTCTCAACAGCTTCCATAGACAAGCCTTTCCAATTACCCACATTTCTCAAACGAAGGCCGACCGTCGTGGTGAATTATCACTGGGATGGGTTCTCCCCCTTTGAGACCTCCAAAACTAAACAGATTGACCCCCCGGCATCTACGGATGGATCAAACGAGGACGAATCGTCCCCTCCTCCTCTGAGCTGGCCAGTCCCTATCCATGATACTACAAGGGCTTATGACTGGATTATCCAGAATCTAAGTCCACCACATACTCAACGTCGAAACATATATCTCTACGGTTCGTATCTCGGGGCGTCCCTAGCAGTATCTCTAGCTTTGACGGAAACCCGTCCTCATGAGAGGATGGCTGTCCGAGGATGCGTCGCATTCAACGGGATATATAACTGGACCAAGTTCCTTGCAGACCACCCCATCAATAATCCAGATCCGAATATCGACGCGGAAGAAGAAGTCTTACTGCGCCAGGACGACGCCTACTTCCGGCAGATGAAGCAGTACGCCGAAGCATTATTCGGTAATCCAAACCACCTTTTCGACCCCTTTGCAAGCCCTACTCTGTTCTTCATCACACCAGGGCTTTACGCGCCATCCAGCTTTACCGAGTCAGCTCTCTCTCCCGGCGAAGAGTTATTACTCTTCAAACCTCCAAAAAGCAGCCGGCTCGTCTTCCCACCCAGAACGTCCACACTGAGAATCCCCGAGACGTTGCTGCTGCATACCAAGCCACCCCCGTTACCTCCCTCAGTTCTAAAGCAGTGGTATGCTGGGAAGGACGGAAAGAAGAACAAGGCGTACCCCGGGAATAACTTCCAGTCTCAGGCCGAAGAGCTCGGCAAGTATATGCGTCTTAGTATAGATAAGGCTGAGACGCTGCGAGATTTTAGCTGGGAGGGACTGGAGGAAGAGCTGGATAAAGACTTCTGGACAAAAGAGGCAGACAGGAGGATACAGATTCACGACGTGGGGGGCATCAACAAAGACCATACGCTCGGAAGGAAGGGGGAGGAGGTAGTTGCGCCCTGGCTGGAGCTCCAGCTCTCGGGCAGGCCGTTGCGAACGAGCGACGTACAAGACTTATACGGTCCAAGGAAGCGTCGCGAACAATAGAAATGTTGCATAAACTTGCCTCCCCATACAGCTATATCTCTCGCTCTCAGATCTTTTTTCATCTAATTCTAGTCTACCTAGTTGAACGTAAATCAAGTAGGAGGTACCTACCAGGTACCTAACCTAACCTAACTAACGTTTAGAAAGGGGCACGCGCTCAATGGGCCGATGCGTATGGGAATTCGCAAAGTAAGGAATAAAAGCCGAGAACATTTCTAGACTAGGAGAAAAAAAAGCAAAAAAAAAAAAAAAAAGAGGAAGAACTCCACCTTGACTATCTTCTCATTCATACCACATAATCACTAACTTATAGAGGTACTGATGCATTACCTAGATATTACTTTCAACTACCAAGAACAATTACATTAACGGCAACATTCTTTCCAAACCGCACACAGGTATTGTACGTACCTTCACGCGCTAATTACTATGGCGCGGTACCTACCTAGGTAGCCTGACCCATCTATCAGCTGCCTGTCCCCCCACCACAATCCATCCCACCACCACTAGCACCACCCACCAGCACAACCAACATCCCCACCTGAGAGAAGCGCTAATCCAATCCAATCCAAACAACCAAGAACCCCTCCCCACCCTGAAGCACCCGACGTTAGAACTAGTATATAGTGCACTATAACGAGCCGAGTTAACAACTACCAGGGTCTGATGGTCTAGTGGTAGGATTCTCGCTTTGGGTTCATTCGAAATGAGTCTCAAACTGCGAGAGGTCCCGGGTTCGATCCCCGGTCAGACCCTACTTTTTGCATTTTTCTTCATCCCTAACTAACCCGGCTACACTTAGCTCTCTAAACTCATTCATTTGCATGGTGGATGGTGGGTAGTTAGGAATAGGAAATATCTTATTTTTGGGTTCATCTCATGTATGTATGGAATGAATTGAATGGGTGGTGGTGGTGCATTGGTAGTTTAATAATTGCGTCGATGCAACGTGGTTAACAAGGTTCGTCCGATTGCTTCGTGGGGTAGTAAGTACTATCTATGTCTTTTTTTATATATGTTTTCGCCTCAATTACATGCATGCATCTTTCACATGAACAACACTATCTATCCTAGCGCATCTTCTAGAATTGAGTTGTCTTCTTGTATAGGTACCTAATATATTAATTATGTGGGTAGCTTAAAAGTTCTGAGTCAGTTTTGCCTTTGTACTTTATCCGCTCATCACAGTTTGTTTGCCGTAAACTCGGAGAGTTATCGTGTGGTCGCGGGCGGTATCATCGTTGACCAGTAGGTTCTTAAGATCATATACAATACAACACATATTTGCATATTTAGACATCTACGCTTATGACAAGATATTCATATTTGTATATATATAACATAACCATATAGCCAGATGCAGCCCAATCACCCACCCACCTACTCCGTGAGATGCAGTATATTCTATCATATGCGCGTGTATATATATCCCATTCATTCTAAACGAGTCTTTCACTCGAAAACCATAGTATCGCAAGATATCTAGCCTCTAAAATAGACGACGATAAAAAGGAATAAATAGGGGGTATGATGTAGCAAATGCGCGTGCGTGCGATGTGTGTATGTATCCATGTTCCCCTTACCCATACAAATATATCGTCAACAAATACGAATAGGGTATATAGGTACACCTAAGGTAGGCAGGTATATGAAAACAAACCTCCTCTCCTCCCCTCTGCTCCCCTCTACCTCCACGCCCACCACCTCTTCTTCTTCTTCTCGCCGTACCCCTCCTCTCGAACATTATGCTGCCCGACGATCGTCAGGAACACCTGGTCGAGGGTCGTCGGCGTGCAGGAGAAGTGCTCGATGCCGAGCTCCTCCTTGTGCTCTTCCAAGATCACGATGAGCCGGCCGACCGCGCTGCCGTCGTTGCTGCTGCCCCCGACCGCGCTCGCCGGTATCGAGAACCGCATCTGCCCGTGGTACGTCTTCTGCTCGACCTCCGCGTCCGGCCACGTGTCGACGACCCACGCTCGCACGCGCTCCATCTCCTCGGCCGTCGAGTGCGGCGCCGACTTGCTCACCATGTGCACGTGGAGGGTGTCGCCGAAGCGCTGCCGGAGGTTGTCCGTGGTGCCCATGGCCAGCATGCGCTTCGCCAGGATGCCGGCGCGGTTCGCGAGCGCGTCGGCTTCCTCCATGCTGTGCGTGGTGAGGAGGATGGATCGGCCGGGCACGATCGAGTGTAGCGTCCGCCACATTATTCGCTTAGCCGCCGCGTCGAGACCCGAAGAGGGTTCGTCGAGCAGGACGACGCTGGGGTTACCCATGAGAGCAATGCCGAGCGATAGCTTTCTCTTGTTTCCGCCGGAGAGCGCATGTGCCATACGAGTCGAAAAGGCTTCGAGACCTACGGCGCGAAGGACGGCTTGGACATTATGCTCGATGTCAGGGATACCTCGGACGCGGGCATAGAACCGTAGATGCTCGAGGACCGTCATCGAATCGATAGCATCAAATTGAGGGCATACACCTAAGTGGGATCGAGCTTCAGCACGACGGCGACTCACAGATGTGTTCTCAACGAGAACATCACCTCCGTTATAACTAGGCTGGATATCACCGCGAATCAACGAGATAGTCGTAGACTTTCCGGCGCCATTAGGTCCTAATAAGGCAAAGACTTCGCTGTGCTGAACGCCAAACGTAACATTATCAACAGCCGTGTTCTTTCCGAACGTTTTCGTCAAGTGTAGCACTCGGAGACCATCGCTATCCTGAGGAGTGCTAGTTACGCGGACGAGTTCGTTGGCAATTTCTTCGTCTGAAGCAGCTGGGTCGTTGGAGGACGGCGGTGACCTTTGCGTAATGCGACTCAGCAAACTGCTTCCAGCCCCACTGTCGTGCCAGAGCAGGTAACCAAATAAGAGGATCGACTGTATAATCAAGTAAAGAATCGGGCCGCCATAAGCAGTTATAGCGGCCGGATTGCTCTGAATTTGGTCTCCGTCACACGACACCGAGAAAAGGTTGAGGGCGACAAACATTGTTCGGACAACCGAACCAATAGGCAAGAAAGCCGATATAACGAAATGGGCAACCAATATAGACGAATCAATAAGGATGACCGGTGAGTATGTAAGAACGCAGAGATATGCAATCAAGTAAATAAGAAAGCCGACGGCCTGGCCGGCTGCCGAGAAAGCATATGTCGACAGCTGGTTGTTGCTGAATAGAGATATAACATATGATAACAAGGTAGACGCTAAGCCGTACAATATAAAGACGAGGAAGAGGTAAGGGACGTGATACCAGACATCGGAAGATGCGGCAAAAGCAACGGTAGCAAGCGCGGAGGCGACAACAACAATTGCAAAGTCGAACAGGGTATAAGAAGCCCAGAGCGGCAGCGAACGCACGCCGTTCGAGTACTGTAATGCTCGAACGTTCCGGCGCCTCTCAATATTGGGGTAAAGACCAAAAAAGGCGGGATAGATGGACATGGCTAGGCAAAAGTAGATTAGTAGCTGCAGGGAGTCCCCAGTTGACGGCGCCCAAGGTGTGTCGAACGGAGCGTAAGTCGTAGCGATAGTAGTGTTGGTTAGCATAACGTCTAAAGCATTCAACCCGAAAAGTGAGGTGATAACGTCTCCACCATCTGCTTTGTATAAGACAGTAGGCGCAGAATTAGCATCCCCAAGCCACCACCCAGCGGGTGTAATATTCTTCCGCATCTGTACGGCAAAGTTGTTGAACTCATCTAGCGAATCGACCAAATGTAAGCTCTGCATAAAAGAAGCTGGAGAATTTGATCCCGCCCCGGTCTCATTATCTGCTCTCGCAAGGAACTGGCTCAAATCCAGGTTCTGGTTTTGACCCATGAAGATAGGGCCGAAAAGCCTCTGGATCGTTTCACTACTAAATTGTGAAGATGGACCAGCAATTAGCCACATATTGTCGTATAGACCCAAAGAACCCGATAAATCGATATTCTTTTGATCAGCCGGGCTACATCCCACTGGGTGCTGATCCGTGACGTATAAAGCTGTCAGAGCTGCCGCTATTATAGGAATTAAGAAGGCTGCCACATAAGGAAACCAGTTCGTCTTGAAAATAGTGCACCGCTTCATGAACAGTACACCAGTTTGCTTCAAATAGCGAATTGGACGCCCTGAAAGCAACTCTAATCTATCCTTCTCAAGCTCACTTCCGATACTGCCTTCGGGTCCCACTTGCTTCTCAGCAGCAACTTCAGCAGATGAACTCTCCCCTTGTCTCATGACATGCTCTCCTTGAACTTCCTCAGCTACTTGTAAGAAAACATCTTCGATAGTAGGGTTGGAAAACTTGTAATCGCGGATTCCGGCAGACTCAAGAGAGCGTATTACATCTGCGGCAAGACTAGATGTTGGTGCAATATAGCTGATCACATCGAAACCTATCTTGCGGGTGACGTTTTTGATCTCCGGGGGATTCTTGATCTCTCTAGCATTGAATACGTGTACTCGATATCCGGCGCCCAATCTCTCCTTGAGCTCGACAGAAGATCCTTGAGCTCGTAACGTACCCTTAGAGAGGATAGCAATGTGGTCAGCAAGTAAGTCAGCTTCGTCGAGGAAATGGGTGGTAAGGATGATAGTTCGTTTTCCACGCTCAGCTAAAAGAATATCCCATATTTTTCGTCGCGATAGGGGGTCGATTCCCGAAGAGACTTCGTCAACACAGCAGACGGCACTGCCACCAGTTAACATCATTCCAAGTTGCAGCTTTCGCTTTTGACCACCCGAAAGGGTCTTGGACAGGGCCTTGATTTTTGGCCCAAGATCCACCGCTACCACTAAGTCATTAATCTCTTGTTTAGACGCAAGAGCTTTCGGGGATTTTAGCCTGTTGAAAATCCGAATGTGTTCTTCAACTGTCAAATCATCCCATAAAACATTCTTCTGCGGCGCGATACCCAACCCCCCTGTTCCATCAATCGTAATACCGCCGCTGGTCAATTTGCTGATACCAGCAATCGAGTCAAGCGTCGTACTCTTTCCACTACCATTAGCGCCGAGCAAAGCCAATATTTGACCCCTCCTTGCAGTGAGTGTTAGCTTATCAACGGCCACGACTGGCTCTTTTGGCGCCGATTGGAAGGGAAGCAATCGATTAAGAAAACTAGGGTAGTATATTTTAGTGAAGCCCTCTAAGCGAACGGCATCGGTCGGTGCCGTGTCCGCAGTTTGTCCTTGAAGAATTGTACGGCCCTTTGTAGTCGTGCCGTGTAGCACCCGTTCAAAATAAGCTCCAATGAGAGGATAGGCAATGATCTGAATGGCGAGGAACACCCAAAAAACAACACCAGGTATGTTCCAAGGATTGTCAGGGGGGTTATTGATTAAATCGGCCGGATAAGATAATCTTTCATATCGCGCTATATAAGTCATGAACCATACAAAGTTACAAGGCGTCTGTGATGGCATAAGGTTAGTCAGGACTCATTTTAAACTTATTTAGGTGGTTGATAAGACGATTTGTTAAAGAAATAAGTAACGGCAAGAAACACGTACAAAAAGTAAACTCAAAGCCGCAACGGTACCAGTCTTAGGCGATGTCAGAGTTTGCGCTAGGATGGCTAGCAGAATTATGGCAATCGTAGTCACAACGCCGGAAAGCTGTGATTTGCTAAAAAACGAGCCGCTCAGGATGGAGAGAGAGCCCAAAGCAAGACCGGTAAGAATGAAGTAAAGAAGCACAATGGCAACGCTCGTATCTGGCCAAACTCCCCGCGCAATGATGATAGAGCCGATCACCCATCCTGGAAGATAGACTGCGGTGAAGGCAATGTGGTACGAGAGCAACCGTGCAACTTGGGGTTCCCATCGGTACCTTGTGGGCATCATGGCGTCTAGCAACTGAGACATGCCTATTTCTCTTTCGGTTGCCATGTGGCCGGTCATATGATAGCAAATACCGATAACGACTACGAAAAAAGATACGCTCAGGAAGTTCGTTAACGACGATTGGTAGTTACGCCGGATCCGTGCGGCCCGTTCCTCTTGGGTTTCGGGAGTGAACGGGTACTCGTCAATAAGGTCCGGGATCCGCGACTGGCCATCAGGATTAGAAACACGGGAAATAGCGGTATCCACGGCGCGTTGCAAAGGGAGAGTATAGACTTGGGCACTATTATCGTCCTTTGTCACATCAATCTTTGACCCTAACTCGCCGTCTGCTCGAAGCGTATAATTCCATATCCCCCCTTCTCCTTCGGTTGGGGAGGAGTAGAATACTACTGCGCCGTAACAAGGCGATACGCCGCGCAAAGAACTCCGGCATGCATACGATAAATCGGACAGACTCGATAACCTCGACGCATTCTTCCCAGCTCCGGATACGGTTTGCGCAAGCGTATCGATAACACGTTCGATATCGCCACCAACGAAGCCATTATCCACAAAAGCGACTGTATTACGATTCGTCTCGGTCGCAGCAGCCAGTCCGTTCTGTAGGGATCTAATAGGGCGCGAGTCGCCAATGCCGTACACAGCGGGCGGAACGAATAGATTCCGCGCAAAAGTAAGGAAAGCTGCCAGAAGAATGGGAAGGATAAACGCTCTTATGAGAGTGGCATACCAATGGCGCAAAACGACGATCTTGAGATTCTTGGACGTCAAGGTCCAGGTCTGCCGCAAGAAGGCCATTGTCGTCGGTAGCGGAACAGGCCCGCAGTTCAAAGTCTCTTCTCGAGAAGAAAGAGAAGGAAAAAAAAGGCGCCCCTACGGAAGGGTGGTTCGAGTCAGAGTGAGAGAGCCGGGCGTCTGCTGACGGATCCGCGTCGTAAGAATTTTTTTTTTTATCGCGCCATGTAAGATGGATGTACAATACGTCAGGATAGCCCAATGTGTGTATGTACGGTATCGATCTCCCGCGAAAGTTGGAAAGGGTTAAAAAACTAACAAAGGACGGGATAGTGAATTGAGTATATTTTGTATCAAATAATCTCAAATATGATAAGTACCTTCTAAGCCCCCCAAATCTTCAACGCAAAAGAGAGAGAGAGAGAGGAAGAGAAAGATGAACTATCAAGGACCAACAAAAAACTTCGCCTGATCGCGTAGCCTCGTTCAGAACAGGCGGTTGTCACGATTCTATCCAGAAAACTCAACGACCTTTTCCTCATGAATGCGGAAGCGTACCTAATACGAACGAACCCTTAACTACCTAACCTAGGGTATAAGGGAAAATCGGCGATTGGGTTGGTCCGAACGTCCCGGAATCTGGAACCAAAGCGTTTCGTAGGCAGTGGCAGTGCTATAAAGCTCGTCAAATATTACCCACTAAAACCGTAAAGGCCTGTACACCAGCCAATAGGAATTAAGTATGGTTAGGGAATTCAGCTGCCTTAGGTAGCTGCAAGCTTGCAGCATCGAGTTGCCCAGAATCTAGGCCAACGCCCGATTAAAACGGCTCGCTTGGCTCACGCCATACGTCATTGGCAAAGTGGGCTTGTACTTCTTCCCTTTAAGTAAACGCCAAATTTTCTGCAAATCCTAATTCGTCAATTTCGACGGAAAAAAAGTGCTGCAGATTCCCGTATCAGGCAGCAGGCAGCCAACAGCAAACATACCTGAATCTCCATGCATGGTATAGGTATATGTATGCACTCTGGGTACCTTAATTATAACGATGATGATGATGATACGCTGCAGAACGAATAAATGAGCCGTACAGGATTGATTGACGCGTCATCGTATACATAACCAGTCGCAAAATATGACGAGTGAGACATCTACCAAATCTCTTTATATGGACAATTAGGTTTCCAAGAAACATCGCCCCCTCCTGATGGAAGATGCGCAACTTCGAATCCCCTTTGTAGTGAGCCCTGGAATGCGGCTGCTTAGTAGCCCCGTTATTATACCGAGGTGTAGGATTGAGATCGGCGGACTACGCTGGTTAAGGGTTGGCTCGGATCTGTCAACAACCCCTACCTAAACTATTGGGCCCTTAACTTATCAATCGACGAAAAAACCTCCGGCGTAATCGTCATCTATCATAAAACCCCCAGCTTCACCGCTGTCATCACTTTGCTGCGCCGCGTCCTCTATGTCGTGTTCCTGCAATGCTGCTTCACTCCCATTATCATGGTCCGCGGTATCTTGATTATGACTTTCCTCTTCTTCCGAGTCAACGCCTTCCCAAATCCGTTGCCGAACCCTGAGGCTCCTCAGGAATAATTTCCAAGTCTTAAGAACCTCGCGGGTCCGCAGCTCTTTCTCCATATCGGCCTCCCGGTCTTTAAGACCTGTAATCACAGCTCGGACAGCCTCTTCATGCTCTGCGGCGACTACCACTCCGTATAAAACCGCCGTGCCTTGTCTACCCTTGAATTGGAAACCAGTGAGAGCAGGTGCATAATCAACTCCTAATATGAACGCGGCTCGAGCTCCGAGCTCGTCAGCCACGTAGGCACCGCCCTCCGGAACCATGCTGGGCACATAAATATCTAAATTACCAAATTTGTTCTTGGGTACTTTCCCGTTGACGACCGGAGGATGCTTGAATTGCACGGTCTGGTTGAATGTGTAGATAGGCGTACCAACATCCCCCCCAGGATCATCATCCTCATCATCTAGTGAATCTGCCTTCTGCTTTGCACGTTTAGGTAGGAACTTAGCAGGTATCTCGTTTGGGAGGACCTCTCTACCCATTCGATACCACTTCTCCCTGCTACGAGCGATCTGTATATCTTTCCGCCTGTATATCTTCTCTAAGGGGCCGTTACTACCAGCCCCTATAGTGCCTGACGCAGAAGCACCAGGCATGAGTACTTCGTTCCGCCTGAAGTGACGTTCCAATGCATATATCGGGTGATCCTTGAAGTCGGCGATGTTGCGAGGCATTGGTTCCCGCAGCTCGGTAGCTGTTAACTCATTGTCCTCGATCTGGTCCAGGTCCGAAGTGAAGCCACGGGAGAAAGTCCGAAGGACCTTTCGCCACCATCTTGCGCCAGTAGCCTCCGCACTTTCAATTCGCATCTTTCTCGTTTTCGCATTATACGCTTTCGCATAGCGGCGAGTTACATCTTTTGCTGTGCCGTCAGCTTCAAACGCAACAACGTAGGTCATACAATTTTCTCTATCAGAAGCCGGAGGCTCCATTTTCTGGGGTTTCCAAAACGAATCTGTCACCAACGGGTCGACGGGTTGCCATTTCTGGTGGGCTTCGTCTAGAATTTCAACCCAGTAGATGGGATATGAGGATTCCCGGATCTTTTTAGGCGCAGAAAGAGCTTCACGAGATGAGCTAGGGGTATGCATGGTGGGAGCATGATAAGCCATCGCATTCGGGTGCCCCAAACGCCTGCGGATTGGATCAACAACCTCCGCTGATGATTCAACCGTGTTGTTGTTTGCAGCATTCTGTTGCATTTGTGCGTATCGCGCTGCGATGGATAATTTCCCTTCCGGTTTTGGTGGTCTCCCTAAAGAAGGCCCCCCCGAAGCGAAAGCAAGCGGTTGAAGGGAGCACACGAGCCTGGCTTCAACCCCAGCGCTACGGAGGAGCGCACAATACAATTGAGCGCCAACATCGCGCGAGCCGCTGAGGGATTCCGCTGCTTTTCGAAAATCCGGCTTTTCTCTGGACGATTCTATATCGTCTGGTAGTTTGTACTATGGAAGTTGTATTAGCTTACTAGAATAAAAGAGATCGGGTGGGCATACCCCTTTAAGATGTTCTTCATTCTCCACCCAAAGTGCCCTTCGAAGTCCTCGCTCAGTGATCTGAAATTTTGTTTTATACATGGTTCCCACTTTCTCTAGACCTTCCTTGAGAGATTGTGTTCGTCCGAACTGAGTAAGATGAGTCCCCGGATTGAGATACGTGACCATTTTCTTGGTCAATAGCGCTCGCAAAGTATCTTGGACGGCAGCATCATTGCACCACTGGTTCCTACGAGCAACATGAGCTAGCAAGCAGAGCAAATGCATCTTATGTATTTCGATTCGACGATCTTTTTCTGCCCTGCTGATTGGCTTTCGCCTATCAACAGCCTTACGAGAACCCGTAGCCGTCTGCGTTGAAAAGTCAAGCACAATATCTTTATTGGCGTCTTCTGCTTTGCCTAAGTTCGGGGGAGGTGCCAAGAAGTCGATATCCTCGAATTGTATATCGTCGTCATCCTCTTCGTCATCCTCATCTCTATATACCGTCTGGACGGTGGCAGCTGGTAATGGCACATCCTCAAACTGCACATCTTCTTCATCGTCTATATCTTCGGGCTTCGCCGTTACCTCCGGGGGATGTGGTGTCTTAATTGGTTCCTCATTTTTCTGACCGGTTCGCCGTCTCTTCAAGGGTCGCTCTGGTAAGGGCGCATCGGATTGGACATTGGCTTCGACAAGCATCTGTTGATAGATGTCCGGAACATTAGAGCGCCTCGCACTAGATCTTGTCTGTCGGGAGGACCCAGAGGCTGTCGGGTTTGTCGCATTTTTGGATGCTACACGTTTTCTCCCGGCCATTACAACTAGTATCATAAAATTAGGTACCTAAAAGCTGAGGTGATCGGTATAATAGGTATATAATATATTAAAATTAGAAAACAAAAATGGAGCTAAAGGTACACTCTATGTCGGCAGCGACAAATACAATAAATGGAGATGCATGGTGCGATTGCAATTTGCAAAAGGGTTGCCTTACAAATAGGTGAGAGGTACCTAACCTAGCATGAGAAAGTCGCCCGAGCTTGACGTAAATGCCCTGGAATTTGGGTTGCAGCCGCGAACGAGGGGTATAGGAATGTGATGCGCTAAACTCGAAAGCACGTGACTTTACAGTTTCGCGTTTAATGAGAGCCGTAATAGGTTAGGTTTCTCTTCTCTTCACGTACCTTTTATCTATTTAGCACCTATTTAGAATCCCTACCTCCCTACTACCATGCATAAGATAATTCGACTTGATCGTTTTCCGCCTTTCGCCTTTTCACTTAGGATAACAAACTATGTAGCGCTTCCAGTACCATTCACTTATGATCTAACCTACCTGGTTTACACCTACCCTTACTTTTATCAAGGCGATATATGTACCCGTTGACTTCCCGCAGTCAAGAAGCTGTAGCACAGCAGCCCTTGTCATAAACTCATTATATATTAACTAACCCTCGGTAAAGTTCCGGGGCGCCCAGCACTATTTAGGATCTTTAATCCCTACCTACCTAGGTAGGTAGTCTCAACAGGTAGCGGTGTCAGCCTTTTCTTTTAGCAACCGGTGGAACGGCTCGTCGATGAAGCAGAAGCTGCAGCTAGTGCTTCAGCATCTTCAGCTTCAGCCATCTCCCTCGCTTCTTGGAGAAGCCTATCCCAGCATTCATTGCACATCCCCTCATTCCATTTAATGACAACTTTGTCCACCTCACCTCTTGGCCCTAAGCATCTCTTGAACAATTCAGCGCATGTCTGTGGTTGTATGAATCCCCAACAAGAACAGCCATACCAGCGCTGATATAATTCCTTGCACATCGTCCAGAGGCGGCGACAATGGAGAAGGGACGAATTTTAGATGGAAACGAACGATCATATAGGAGCTCGGACATTAGGGTTCTTTTCGGAACAAGACGGACGTAACGCGAGGTGTTGAATTCGGATAGCCTCAAAATACTATTGAGTAGAACCAGAACCAGAACCAGAGCACTTTGATATTCGATACCCGTCTTTCGTTTCAACCCCTTCTGCTGTTTATCAGCAATAAGTATTGTTTGATCTGAAGCCTTCTTTAGCTGTCTAATAACAGCGATGATCATTTACAGGTGGCTCGGTTGTTATCTTGTCAACATTGCAGTTTTGGCGTCGTGTACTACCCTCAGTGTTTTCAAGGGCCTATTCGCAGGGGTGATTTTAGTTGTCTAGTAACAACATGATCATACCAGCAGGTATAAGCGGACTTTGAGCTTGGTCAGGCTATGAAATAGCCAAGCAGTGAAGAAATAGAGTGAGTTTCCGTGGCTTTGTGGCTAAACGGAGTAATATTCCTAAGACGAAGATGTTGCGCGCCGAATCCAGATCACCAATGTATTTTCTATGATACTTACCCTTAGGTACCTCCTACTTACTTTACCTTCTTACTGGAAGTAACCTCAACAATCCAGGGCTCTGTGGCCTAGAACAGCGGTAACGGCAGCTGCAAGGAACCCCACTATGGCTTGCTGTCAGGATCCCAGGGACCATACCATACTCGGCCGTACTACATGTATGGACGAGCACACGAGGCATTTTTAAGGGGATCGAGATCTACTTCCTACCGGGCTCCCCTTGTCGAAATACTCTAACCTGTTACAGGTAGAGGTGTTGATTTCATTATACGCTTATCGTATAATGCGATATAATGCGATATAATGCGTTATAATGTCGCATAATTAACATCTCTAGCAGTCTAGTCAGTCACAGGCTGTCTTCAACAGGATACGGTGAAGCACCGGGAAGATCATTCATTTAAACCCTTGAACCGTTCTACAAGACTATATAATACCTAGAATGTTCCACAATCGGAATTTTCTTGCATCCAACTGCCTTACTCGCGTGAACGTCGGCCGATTAAATCAGCCGCATGTACCTAGGTAACTCTCCAACTTCGACATCAGCCTCAATAATAAGTCTCTATGTTTACAGTCCCCTATTTATAAAGGACTCCGAGAGGGTATGTCGGGGAAATGTTGGAAGTATCTGGGTGCACCGTCGGCACCGAAACGTAAGGTTTAGATGGGATAGTAACGTTCGCGAACGCCGGCGTCTTTCGTAATGGTCGAAGACGAGAAAAATGATTAGCAATATTGAGCAGCTTTTTCTCGCTAAATGGAAGGCCCAATATTTCCATCCCAATAGGGATACCACTCAGGGCATCTAGCGATGGTTGTGAGAATCCCACAGGGACAGTGACCACCGGAACGCCAGTTAAGGCCGCGAGAATACCATTGCGTCCTGCCTGGGATGGCGAGCCAATCTTGACTACAAGATTTTTCTGTTCCGGGTAGATTACAGCATCCAGCTTATTGTTCGCAAAGGTTCTATTAACCGCAGCTTTAAGACGGTCGATACCTTGCTTGGCCGTTGTGTATCCGGGATCAGCTGGCGACCGAACTCTGGAGTTATTTATAACGCTGTATTGAGCTGGAATAACTAAGAATTTTCCACTCTCATATACTTGATCCCAAGTAGTTGGTCTATTTCCGGTGAGGTTTGGGCTAGACAGGTAGTCATTCAATGACTCCTTGAACTCATATTGTTGGACATCAAACTGAGCAATTGCTGATGCGTTGTAGATCGAGTCCGTCACGTTGATGATTTTAACCCCCTGTGATTTGAGGAAAGTAATGGTGCTTGCCAAAGCGTCGATCACTGGTGTCGTTTCATTAGAAATCGTGTGATTCCAGAATCCGTCCAGCAACCCAATTCGAAGTCCATTGAGGCTCCCATCATCTAAGCCCCGTGTATAGTCCACCCCCCTTGCTTCCGGTGGTACAAGGAGAGTGGCGTTATCAGCTTCATCGGCGCCAACGCTCGCCATAACGGTTAATGCAACCGCAAGGTCCTGGACATTCCTCGCGATGGGCCCAATGCTATCCTGTGTGAAACTGATAGGCATTATCCCTACTCTTGAAATAAGCCCTCGGGTCGGACGCACACTAACGAGGTTATTTGCACTTGCGGGACTACGGAGACTATTGACAGCATCCGTACCCGTGCCAAATACCGCGAAGCTAGTTGCGATTGCGGCGCCGGTGCCGCCACTACTACCCCCCGGAGTCCGAGTCCGGTCGTATGGGTTTATTGTTTGTCCTCCTAGAGAGGACACTGTGAGGCCCTCCAGCGCCACTATTAGTATCTTAGTCAGCATAGTCCTAAGACACAGGAGTCAACAAATATTCGGGAGACACATACTCTCATGAAGATTAGTTTTGCCCAAGATCACAGCGCCTTCCTTCTTCAAGGCCTTAACGGAAGGAGTGTCAACAATTGGTCGGTTACCAGCCAAAGCAGCACATGATCCCGTTGTATTCATGCCCACGGCATCATAATTGTTCTTCAGCAGGATAGGGACACAAAGAAGCTTGCCTGCTAAGTCACCAGTGGCAATTTTCTTATCCAGCTCATCTGCTGCTGAGAGAGCATCCGGGTTAAGACTAACAATTGCATTGATAGTTGGGTTCAATTTCTCGATACGAGAAAGGAAAGAAGATACCACAGTGCGGCAGGTAGTTGACTTCGAAACAAGCGCAACCCGTACATCGTGGATTGTCGACTCCAAAGGCTCAAATGTAGAATCATGGGCGTGGATAGTTGACGCTTGAAGGAAGACTGCACTAAGCATCCAGACAATCATAGGCACTCGAGCGCCTAGTAGGCTATTGGGGGCGGATAGGAGAAATCTCATGATAAGTTCCAATATCTATAACAGTTGGTATGGGAATCAGTGTCTCTAGCAACTCAATTGAAAGTTTTAGCAAAAGCTATGCTTATATAGGTTAATACTAGTCTACTCTCAACTACTACAAGAGAAAGAGGCTCTTGTCTTACCCGAGTCATTTGTTTAGGAATAGAGTATATGTAGACTCTGATGTTACACAGGTAACCACAAACCCGGTTCTGAACTATACTCTCACATAATACGGGCAACGTCCTTTACAAGCAAATCAAACGAATGGCAGTACTTTTAACCTGATGTTGGTTGATGTTTGACATTTATTCCAAGTCACGTTGTCGGCTTTAATTCATTACGGGTGGCATATAAAACGTATTAGTTATGACGGGAGTAACTAGATTCAGATTTTCTAACTGGTCACTCCCACCATCAGCAGACTCCATAACCACTGGGCAAGCCGAAAATTCGTAAAGACTGACAAGATCTCTGTTGGCTCCGGGTTTGAATCTCGAGATACGCATACCAAGTTCATACCCATTTGCAAAGACGTCATAGTTGAGGACCCGCGCAAACGTCTTCGTATGTCGTGTAACCGGCTCTGGGAAGACGGGTCTCATTATGTGCTGAAGGTAAACATATTGGAAGAAAGACAATCAAGTAGCCAATTGACATTCTCCTGTTATTATTAGAGCATGATGTCTCTTCCACCCCACGTCTGCCCTACGCAATAACCCTACCGGTTGACCTTGCATACATACACCTGGGTACCTAAGGTATCCTGGGAGAGATACTTATCCCTCCCCAAACGAATATTCTTAGTTATCGACTAGGTCTGCTTCTGACGTGTATAGGTACCTAGATATAGTGTATGATAAAGAAAAGACTTAGCAAATGAGCGAGCTCTAGGTACCACGTAATCGTAGCCGACGGAATAACCAACAGACCCCCAACGGGAATAAGCAGGAAGCAAGTCTTGTGATATGGCAATCCGTCAGAATAAGTGCGTAGTGTGCTAGTGCTACCGGCGATGTGATTTGGCAGACGCTGTTTGTCGCGCAATTTCGGATGGTGGTGCTCTTATATCATATCACATTTAACGGGAACACACGTCATTAGGAGATACCGGAAAGCCGGTTATTCGTTAACGATAAAAGCACGTCCCTGTTGCAGACCCGGCGTCTTGGGATCGCGCATGATTGGCTGGCCTTGCAGTCTTGCGGTGTACGTGCAATACACTACTACTCCACTGAGGTCAGTGCATGCATAGGTACCTATGGTGGAGTGGGCGGCGATCTGGGTCTAGTTGACGCTTTGTTCCAATCCGAATACCGCATTCAGAAATTCGTCGGGGGCATGTGAGTTGCTGGTTGGACAATGCCCTAGGTTTCCATAAGCAGGGATTAGAGGGATGGGACCATAGTCCGCTGTATGAGCACGCAATCTACGGTGTGCGAAAGGCAGGCTCTAGGTTAGGTAGAGATGATGCAGGTGATTGCCCTTTCCAAGATGTATATCAAGATGGTTCGGAATCGTACCTACTACTTCGTAGCTGTGGATTCATTGTTCCGCTTCCGATTATGGCCATAGCTGGTTGGTAGGTTGGTAGGTTGGTTGATTGGTTGATTATCAATCAAGTGCGCGAAGGAGTAATATTCATCACACCTCAAAACACGTCAGATGAAGCTGTCATCTACTTCAATTCGTCGTCCCTACGTACAAATCGTATCTCGTAAGGGCAAAGGGGATAAATAGCATACGTGATCTCTGTGTGCCTCGGTCGATCCCACCAGGTCCAACCCAAGATTCCCATTAAGTCCAACCCTTCGTTTGCACCTAGTCTCCGTCTCCCCACGAGACGATATATGGACTTTGAGCTTATGACGGAGAGGGGGGGGGGGGGGGGGGGGGGGTAGTTACACCAACCTTCTCTCGTTTTGGAAAAAAACCAAACCCAACAAAAAACCCCACAAAAATCAACCCCATCGACACCAAATTGTAGTGGG